CTCTCTGTCTTCTTATGATTACACCAAGTAAGCCAAAGACAAGCTAATAATCAAAGGGTCAAATGATGCTTTTTTGTGTGACTTTCGCACTAAAGTCCCACAGCTAATCAAATACTTTGGACAGCTGAAGTGCAGTTTAAGGCCCTTCGTCAATTTGTAATTTAGGGAATTGCTTCATTGTCTTCCCTTGAGGGTTGATTGCATGAGAGCTCGTTTGTGTTGTTTACGCTGCACATTAGCCAGTCAACAATCAATCACTGAAGAAAGATAAAGAAAAAAGCTTTTACCGTTGATCTGTTGTTGATTCAACACTTCTGTCCTTTATTCTTTGACAGCACTGCTACCTCAACACAGCAGGAGGTGTGTTTGCAGAAACTACCTTGAGTGCGAGTGTTTGTGCAGACGGGGAGGAGGTTCGCTGTTTTTTCCTCCTGTGTCGGCCCAGAGCCCTGCTCCCTTTACGGCTGTAAGAATATCAGGCATCACCAGACGAAACTCTGCGGTCGGCTTGATTGACGCGAGAGGCCTCACCACCAGCCATTCTAACGGGGATCTCATATCGCCAGGGGTTGGCCAGAGTGCTCCCGGTACCTTCCAAGGAAAATAAGCAGCGTGACATCAGGGCTTTGTTTCAGCAGCGAGGCCCCTTCTGTTTGTGTTTAATATCGCTCAGAGGAAAGTGGAAAGAGGTCTAGCCAATTTCTCTGGCCCCGACTGCTGAGTTTGGGGCTTTGGCGGCAAAGCGACGGTGGTCTTATATGTCTGCTGCGCAAAAATCCCAATCCCCTCGCTCTCTCTCTCTCTCTTTGTCCATTTTCCTTTGCTTTTGGATAGCTGGTACCTGGAGGCTTCACAGTTTTGACTACAGGGAAATCTGATCCCACAGCACCATAACCCACTTTAGGTTACAGAGGCAGACAGAAAAAAACACTGAGAGGGAACTTGTGGTAGAGATCGGGGATTGGTAAGAATAATTATTTTGGAATAAAACTAAGAGACAGAAGGGAGTCAAAGGCAGATCAAAAGAGAGCAGAATGAACTTCAGACATATGTAGAGGGAAGGGAAGAGTATAAATGAGGTGACAGTAACAAAAAAATGAGAAGAAAGCAGGAAAGACAGGAGGGAATGTTCATGTCAGCCATGTCTGGGCGATTTTCCTGAGGACAGGCCCTTCTGATACTCGCAGCTCCAATCCATTCAGACAGGGGTTGACAGTGGTTTCAGACAGCGGTTTGTCTGGCCAGCTAGCTCTGATTTAGTAGACCCTGGACCGTAGGGCGTGCGTTTGCCTCTTTGATTCTTGTTAAGTACTCTGGATGGAAAGACGGTTTCATTTCTTGGGTCAACGTTGTGTTTTTGTCCAAACCAAATGTTTATACTTTCCAAGTCTTTTCTCCTAATTTTGTATTATTTATGTTCTGTTTTAAAAATTTTAAGTTAAAACACATGCCTGGGATGTTATCACAATGTGGCTGCACCTACTTAATTATGGCTTTTTTTCCTCAGAGTTTAAGAGATGTTAGCTGTCTTTGGCTGGGACTAAAAAATGAGACAAAGTTATTCTCAAGTACTTTTTACGCCTTGTTTGTGACCACGTATAGTTTGAAACAATAGTTAAAGAGGCAATGCGTAGTTTTTACCATTAATCCCTGGAAATATTGATCAAAATTTTTAAAAATGAATAAAATGATGTCCAATCGTAGAAAAATATTGGCAGCTTTGTTCCAAACAACAAGATAAATCAGGTCTGAAGTAAGGCTCAGGTCTAGCATCTTTGAAGGACGCAATAATAGACTCTATGTTTCATTCTGGCCCACTTGGGATCCTGAGCCTGTCGATGATGTCACACTGGATAACTGGCTTGATATACGACTTACAGAAGTTACGTTACCACGTTCAAAAACATTTAGGCAGTAAGAAACATGTGTTTTGTGGATTTGGAGAAAGCGTATGACCGTGTCCCCAGGGGCACCCTGTGGGGGACGCTCCAGGAGAATGGGGTGGGTGGCTTTCTGTTAAGGGCCATTCAGTCCCTTTACCAGAGGAGCGTGAGTTTGGTCCACATAGCCGGTAGTAAGTCGGACCTGTTCCCGGTGAGGGCTGGACTCCACCAGGGCTGCCCTTTGTCACCGGTTCTGTTCATTACCTTTATGGACAGAATTTCTAGGCGCAGCCGTGGTGTGGAGAGTGTCGAGTTTGGTGACAGGAGAATCTCATCTCTGCTTTTTGCAGATGATGTGGTCCTCCTAGCTTCATCCAGCTCTGACCTTCAGCTCTTGCTGGGTAGGTTTGCAGCCGAGTATGAAGCGGCTGGGATGAGGATCAGCACCTCCAAATCTGCGACCATGGTTCTCGACCGGAAAAGGGTGGCTTGCCAACTCTGGGTCGGGAGAGAAGTCCTACCTCAAGTGGAGGAGTTTAAGTATCTCGGGGTCTTGTTCACGAGTGAGGGTAGGAGGGATCGGGAGATCGACAGGTGGATTGATTCAACAACTGCAGTGATGCGGACGCTGAGCCAATCTGTCGTGATGAAGAGGGAGCTGAGCCAGAAAGCCAGGCTCTCGATTTACCGGTCGATCTACGTCCCAATCCTCACCTATGGTCATGAGCTTTGGGTAATGACCGAAAGAACGAGATCGAGGATACAAGCGGCCGAAATGAGTTTCCTCCGTAGGGTGGCCGGGCTCAGCCTTAGAGATAGGGTGAGGAGCTCGGACATTCGGGAGGGACTCGGAGTAGAACCGCTGCTCCTCCGGATCAAAAGGAGTCAGTTGAGGTGGTTTGGGAATCTGGTCAGGATGCCTCCTGGACGCCTCCCTGGGGAGGTGTTTCGGGCATGTCCTGCCGGCAGGAGGCCCCCGGGTCGACCCAGGACACGTTGGAGAGGTTACATCTCCAATCTGGTCAGGGAACGCCTTGGGGTCCTGCCGGAGGAGCTGGTGGACAAGGCCAGGGAGAGACCGGTCTGGAGCTCCCTAGTTGGGATGCTGCCCCCGCGACCCGGATAAGCGGAGGAAGACGACGACGAAACATGAATTTTATCACAAAACAGCTAAATTATTTCCAAATCCTATGTGAAAGAACAGAAAAAGAGATGCAATATGTTTTGGCCAAGTGGTATTGCCGTAGTATGATGACGTCGTTGGCAGGCGCAGGACCCCGAGCATATCCAGAAACTACAGCGCCAGAAAACTACAACATTGCATTCTTTTGATGGAAATAACTGAAGGACCATCAAAGTCTGAGGAGTCACGCCAAGGCTGCATGCTTTCTGCTCCTCAGGTAACAACATTTATTAATGTTTTTTAAACAAGTGACAGTCACGGCAACATGGTGCAAAGCTACCCTGAACTACCCTAGCAGCAGGAAGCTACACACCATCATTTAACCATTTGCACAGAACTGAACTCTTTCTTCAAACTAGAGTTGTTCAAAGAGCTATCCTCAAGAGGTAAAATAATCATTTCATACCCACCTCAAAAGATTATTATTATTAATATTATTATTATTATTATTATTATTATTATTATTATTATTATTATTATTATTATTATTATAAGGTATGGTCATGTCAGCTCAATAAAGCCAACCATAGCAGCATTAACACGAGGTTAATCTGGCTCAGTTTGGTCAGCTGATTGGTACTGTCAACTTATTTATGCAGCACATTAAGTATAAATAATGTTTTACAAGCAGGCCATTAAACCATCAGCCCAGTTTGAGCTTCATGTTGGTCTGGAATCAGACACCAGAGAGAAAATATTCAACAGATTTAACTCAGCTGAATCAGAAGCTTCATCACAGACACGTAAAGGGCTTGTGACGTTAAGAGGTTCATTTCAGATCTCAGAACCTCTAGGAGTAATCGTCTGAGTTCTCTCGCTGGAGGGTAGATGTCCAGGGGATCAAACAGTCAGTTGGGACGGGGAGAAAAAAGCTGACATTCATTTGTTCATGTTAATATTTCTTCATTAACTTTAACTGAGAAAAAAAGACCATAATTGGGGAGCTGCGATTATGCTGTGTTGTGTATTATGTTGTATGAAATATAAAGAAATGATGGGAAACTCTTGAGAAGTAGATGCAATTTATTTGGACAGCAAACAACAGAATGCTTTCCTTAAAAACACCAGTAAGTTTAAAAGGTTTTCACTGAAATCTGATCTACTGCAGGAAAAGACGCTTAAAACAGTATTTCTTTTTTAAATAGGTCGGTGTAACAAGTCAGAGGCACCTGAAGGAGGATTTGTTTTTAAATGATTGATCCGTTTATTCTGATGTTTTTGATAGATTTGCACATGGAAAGAAAGGAAGGAAGAAAGAAAGCGATCTTTTATATTGCGCCTCTCAAGATGAAAATCATGAGGCGCTTCACAAAATAAACTAAACAAACAGAACAAAACCACACAATTAAAGTGAGCCCATTAGTGTCTAAAATACACCTAAAGGACATCCAGGATATTTCTTTACATGTTTAGGTTCGAACTAGACTAAATTTAATCCAAATATTAAAGTTTTGGTAGTCATTGTTTATTGGACGTTCCCATTTAGCAGGCCCTGTTGAGGTGGAGCTCAAGTCCCTCAGAGTTGAACAGCACCATGAACCTGCCAGCCACCTCAGCCTCCGTCACATATGTGCTTTCATGTGCGACGTGCAGCCTGTTTACCTTCACTATGACGTGATTCATCTCTGAATACCTGCTGCTGTCACTGGTGGACAGGACCTGATCAGTTATATCCTGTGTGTGTGTGTGTGTGTGTGTGTGTGTGTGTGTGTGTGTGTGTGTGTGTGTGTGTGTGTGTGTGTGTCTGTGTGTGTGTGTGTGTGTGTGTGTGTGTGTGTGTGTGTGTGTGTGTGTGTGAGAGAGAGAGAGAGAGAGAGAGAGAGAGAGACAGTGCAAGAGGAAAAAAGTGCAGATGAAAGAAGAAAGCCACTGACTAGCTGCTGGTGAACGATGTTAACAGCCTGTTGGTTTTGCTGTTTTTTCCTCGTTTGCAGCAGCTGTATGCCGCACAGCTGGCAAGCATGCAGATCTCACCAGGAGCTAAGATGGCTCCCCTCCCGCAGGCTCCTCTCTCCTCTGCTCCTCTCTCCCCCTCCAACCTAAAGAGCGAGAAACAATCATCTAGTCCCATCACACAGATAAAGGTAAGTCTGAAGGTTGACGTTTAAAACCAACAAATTATTTTATGAATCTGTGTGTGCGTGTGTGTTTGCATGTGCGTGTGTGCGTGTGTACATGTGTGTGCCTGCGTGTGTGAGAGGGAGATGGAAAACACAAGTGAGAATAAAAGTGAGAGGCTGGAAATTTGGAGGATGTTGAAACAACGATCTGAGCATAACTCAGTGCTCTTCACCGTCAATTAGTAACAGCTTATTCAAAAGTCTCTCACACACACACACACACACACACACACACACACACACACACACACACACACACACACACACACACACACACACACACACACACACACTGGCTGCTGTTTGGCAGAAGCCCAGGCCTCTTCACTTCAGAGAGCATTCGCCTCATCTTTACTTAACAACGAGCTCGTAATGGAAACCACGTGTTGGCGGGGCGCAGCTGCAATAGGAGTCACAATAGATGGCGTCGGAGCTCGCCACACTCAAACAGTAGTGCTGTGCTCTCTAAAAGCCCCACCCTCTGCTAACCTCTGCACACACACACATTTTAGCATGCCACCCCAGCCACATGCTCCCTCCCGCCCACTTTGTCCCACGACAAAGTTCCAAACTCCCTCTGTTCCCAACTCTTCTAAATTAGATCCACATTCATGATGTTTTGTTCCCAGCTCCAGATGTGTAGTCAGACTGTGTTGATGTGCAGAACGCTACCTCTAGTCGTGTTGTCTTCAGCTCTTCTTCATGAGAACGTGTTATCTGTGTAGATGTTCAGGACTGTTTCTTTGGTCAGCGATATAAAACAAATCTGTATCAACTGACCAGTTAGTTTCTACATCATGCCGTTAGACAATAACAGAGACCCTTCAACAGCTTACAGAAATGCAACACGAAACTCTGAATTGGTGAAACTTCATACAAATACCTCCCACACAGGTTTCACATTTCATGATTCGTTGTGTTGGTAGTTTAGATCTTTTTGAAGTTTATTTTTGAAGATTTGTTGTAACCTGCCTTTATCTGACGGCTTGTAGATTAATGTTCAGTTTGAAGAAACAGGCTAGTTCTGACAGAATTGACAAGCTAACGGCTAGGCACAACAGAGCATATTACTAGGTGCATTTTTGCTCATTAAAGGTAACTTAAGTCACTCAGTTCGCTCAGATGTTAATCTTTTGGATCACCGTTGATTTCACATTTTAATATTACCTTATACAAATATCCCAGCGAGGTTTGGACTGGAGGTTATACACGCCAAACCAGAGGGGGTCCAGGCTACAAGCCTTGCTGCTATTTTTTCTTATCTCCATACTGTATGAATATCCACCTGTTGCTTTAATGTTTTTTCAAGATGGCTGCAATCCATTTTGAAACTAGCCCCTTGTTGCCACTAGCTGTTAGCTCATCAGTCTGATCAGAATAATGTTTCTACAAACCGAGGCTGTTCAAAGATCTCTCTACTGATAGCACATTTGGTGGTAGGTTTTCAGGTGCAGGCTTGTGTTTCTGTCTGATTAACAGGAGGAAGGATCCACGCAGCCGTTGAACCTCTCAGCCAGACCCAAGACAGCCGAATCTCTTCGCTCTCCAACGTCCCCGACACAGAGTCTGTTCTCTGGAACCAAGAGCAGTCCGACCAGCCTGGGCAAAGGCCGCATCCCCAGCCCCATCCCCAGCATGGGCAGGAACTCCTCCCTGGGTATGAGCTGGACCCTGGTGCAAAGGTTTATTCTGAAGGATTAATCACAGGAAATATTGATGGAGTAAAATGAGTTGTTCTGGGCAGGTTTCTTAATAATAAAGAAGCATAAGACTGAGTCAGTCTTTTGGACGACTATTTAAAAGGATTCTCAAGATCTGCATCCTTTAAGAACCATAAATCTCTAGTTAAGAAATCTAGACCAACCACGGCAGTAGCAAAAGGTCTAGCCACGCTCCATTGTAGCTTCAGCAGGTCTACCATTGGCCTGAACAGTTTTACATCAGGCCCTTCACAGCACTCTACGTTTGTAGAGAGATGTCGTGCAGACTGCAGAGTCTCGAGCTGAAACGGCTTTGGCATCAACTTTGAACAATGAATCCATCACACTGTGTGTTGCTCTGACTGGCTGATTGGTCCTTGCATTGTCCAATAGCTTCTGTAGACCGTTTAACAACCGGAGACTCCGCCCCATGACCGAGATCTGTGCGTCGTAGCCAGACTGTATATTTACACAGATAGGATGGCTCGTCACTCCAATAAATCCCGTCAGCTGGTGTTGATTGCTACATAAAAACAACGCCCTAAACGAACAGCAAACACAGCGGGTGCCTGACAAACACTCCTGACACAGCAGCCTTTCACCACAACCTGATCAGCTGACTAATAGGAGACTGCACTCACTGATGTAGATTTTATTCTATGCGGCTCATGACAGCAAACTCATTCACAGTGAAGGTGAAATCCAGTTTCCTCATTCTGTCATTCTCAAAGGGACATATTAGGAGAAGTGTTTGTTTAATCTGTTGCGGGCTTGCTTCTGGACGGGCGGCGCTGTGCAGGATGCCACTGCTCTCTCTCCGGTAACTGGACTGGGTGCGATGCAAGTTTTAAAAAAGTCGTCGAATTTAGGAACTTTGCTTTTTATCAAACACTCACTCCTCACATCGGTAGTGAACGCACACACGGGCACACATGTCACCGCACTCGTGTAGAACGTCTTCCCTTCAACCAGGAAAACAAACAAAACATCCGGCACACAAACACATACCTCTGCCACCCACCCACAAACCGAGCAGTGTCGCATGAAAGGCTGCAGACACCTCAACCCCAGGAGGAGATCTGTGTGTGTGTGTGTATTCTGATGGAGTGTGTGTGTTTTACAGGAGTCCAAAGCCCTGTATTTAGCCCCAATGAAAACCCCAGCAGCGGAAGCAGTGAAACCCAGCACACGTTATTTGGTTTTTAAGAGCTTCCTCCTATTATTGGCTGCCTGCGCTAGACCTTTTATGCTCCTACCTCTGCTATCTGTTATTAAGACCAATCTAAAGCCTCTTATTATATCCCCCAGAAAACAATTTCACTGTCTCCTCTGGAGTGGCTTTGAGGACGCAGCGCTTGCGTTCCCTGCTAAGTTATTTTTGCCCATTTAACGGCCACCCAAGCGTACAGCGCTTCCTACTTGTCTCCTAATTAAATGAGGAGGGCAACGGAAACTTAGCATCCTCTTATTTCTCTCCTTTTTTCTTTGTTAATTCTATAAATGTGCGCTGGCTTCAAAAGTGTGAAGCACAACACATAAACAAGGGGGAGGAGGTTCGGTCGTGTTTAGACACAAGTGAGCTGGAAAACAACACGTGGACCTGACATGAGATGGGGGTACTCTTTTATTACAGTTACTTCCCTTCTTTTTAATAGGGCATTTGTATGCAGCCATTTAACACTGTTGGTAATCAGCACTTTGTTTTGCCCACCAACTGGACTTTTCAAAGTTTAAACTGCTGGCTCAACATCATCTAAAAGGGCTGAAAGGGATCCACCATGTCCAAAGTATAGCACAAACATCACATTCTTCTAATTCTTAAATACTTCTAAACCTAACACAAAACCAAGGGAAGTATGTCTTTGGGTGATTATTGTTTATTGTGACGATGCTTCCTGGTAATAACTCTGAAATACTTGTTTATTTTCCACACTAGTAAAGAAAGAGCGTTTTGTGGGTTTGGGTAGCTGCTGGTGGCGCTCAAACCAAACCAGTTCTCCAAGCTGATGTGAAATATTCAGCTACTGAGTTCTGTTGGTGTTGCTTATTTGATCCCATGATAGAAGTTTAAAGTCATAAAACATGTTGTAACAAACCGGGGGCATCAGCAGTGTCTGAAAGAGCCACACACAACACCCTGCTTCCTTATGCTGGTTCCAAAGATAGATTTAGTTTTTCTCAAGAAGCTTCATTACTACAAAGAAATAACATTTCCTTCCATTCATCTAAACGTGAACAAATCCAACATCCGCATCCTGGTAAGTATTTTATAAAACCAAATAATTACATCGGTGAGTTAAATTTGATCAGTTAAAGCTGACATCTCAGTGGGCTGCACCTGTCCATGGCTAGCTGGGAAAATATGCTGTAGGAATTATGATTTTTAATTGAATTCATTTGACCTTGAGGAAAATTAAATTATGTCTGAATCTGAAATACTGCATATATAGAAATTTTTAAAAAGTGACATTGGCATGACGTTTATGTGAAAAAGGTAGCTGCCCTTGGCACCTAAGGAGAAGACAGTCGCTTCAAAGGGGGCAATGTTTTGATTTGTCCTTTTCTTTGCTGTTCTTCTTTTGCCTGTTGTGAATGCTGCATAAGAAACCATGCGTACCTCAGGTTCAGGATACACGTGACAGTGTTGAACATGAATGAATCATAATATTAAAGCCCATAACAATCTAATTAGCTAAATACAATTAGTTAACATTTCATACGTAATTCTGCCTCCCAAAGCACACCTCGCTTCGCTTGCTAAGGGTGCGATTAGTTGATAACATCGCTAACAGAGCACATAAAAGCTGCCATGACAAATATGGCAGCTTAGGACAAGGCATCATTTTACTCTTTAACAAAAGATGCTCATAGATAGAAATGTATGTGGGTATAATTGCCAACAGAGTAAGTCACATGTCAGTCACAAATTTTTCCAGTCAAGACTCAAGTCAAGTTCAAGTCAAAGACAACCAAGTCCTAGTCTAGTCCAACGTCAATGATGTGGAAGTCCAAGTCAAGTCCAAGTCCTTAACTTTGAATTTTCTAGTCATAATCAAGTCTTCTGTCCAGCTTCAATTTAATGACAACAATAATAATAAATTCCAGAAATAAAACATCTTAAAGCTTTATTTATTTGCTCAAACAAGCAGGAAGTGCACCTGAAACTGATTATAAACAACGTGCTGCTGCTTTTAGCAGTACAAGATCAAACCCAGAACCAAGAATGATTTATGATTTTTGTCCATGTCGGGCCACTTTTGTGCTAAAATAGCAAATATGCTCAGGTCATCATCAAGTCAACAGATGCAAGTCAATTCAAGTCGCAAGTCATTGGCGTTCAAGTCCGAGTAAAGTCGTTTATAGATTTGATCAAGTCAAGTCAGAAGTCATTAAAATAATGACTCAAGTCTGACTTGAGTCCAAGTCATGTGACTCAAGTCTACATCTCTGAGGACTTGTAGTTTAAGACCTCTCTGCCTCTGTCCTCTACAGACATCCTCGCCAACCTGAACTCTACAGCCTTATTCGGGG